CAATGTATTAGAAGGGTGATAGTAATGCTTTCTTGTAATAATTCTTATAGCTATTTTTTTGTAAAAAAAAAAAAGAAAATAGGATGAGTAATAGTTTTACATGCATTTCCCCAGACTTCTCTATGCAATATATCAAATGTGGAACAATTATTGCATTATATAGTGTAAATAGTACTTTATCATTAAATAACTCCATAACTTTATATAATACTGGAATAGATTTTGCCATTTTTGTTCATAATTTATATGAGGTGGAATGGTCAGAGCAGTAAGATGTTGACTGAGCCAAACAGAAAAAAAAATTAATAAAAAACATATCTCACAGATCAGTGCTTTCAGATACTAAGCTTTGCATTACTTTTACTTGTTCAGCCTAGCTGCAATTTAAAGGTATTCCTACACTGGCAGAACTCCAATTCAAATAGAAAACAGCACAAACAGATGTGTGTTAAAAACATGTTTTGTGAAATAGTTAAAAAAAAAAAAGACTAGTTGCTCCTTGTGGATCCAAAAGAAGAAACATTCAGGCGCAAGTGATTACGCAACATGGGGTCTCTGAGCAAGCATTCAATTCCTGTTCTCCAAGAAAAGTACAGCTACAGCTGACCTGATATAAATTATTGTGACATTTTGGGTTGTAGGCAATGTGTGGATGTGCGCATGCATACATGAGTGTGTGTGTGGATGTACATGGACTGATGCCAGAGGATACAAAGGCAATGGAGGTGCCTCTGAGTGTGTTTAACAGTCATGACATAACAAGTAAAACACAAGCAATCATTTCAGCGTTTAACTTCATGTTGGCCAATTAAAACTCGGGAAAAAGAGGGGTGGGAACGGCCCGTGGGCCAGAGAGCAGGAATGATGGAAGAAATGTGCAAACTCTCCGTTTACCACAGCTTAGAGGCCTTGGACCAATTACAGAAACAACCCAAGTCAAATCAAGCATTAGAACACAGTCACACATGCAGATGTGCAAAGCGTGGAAAAAAACCCCAGGAACATGCTCTCCCCGAGGCTCATGTGAACATTTCCTCTCCTAACCTGTGTTACAGTGCTTGGCTTTCTGCACAAAACTGAAGTAGGCCAAATGCTTTAAAGTACAGCTTTTCTCTGTGCCTTGCAACTCTTATGCAATAATGTTGGAAGTTTAGACAAGCTGAGAATTGAAACGGTTCCACATCCAGGTTCAGTTACACCCCCCCCAGCCCAGGCCTAATCTCAAATTTGAAACATACCCGTGAGGCAATTAAAAGAGAGCTGAGAACTGCAGCTGAGGAGCTCAGTTATCAAAGTAAAATGTTATTCAATTACATTTCTGAAAAGCACCGGCAAATGTAATTTCTCTGGAAGCTTTGTGTGAAATATGAAAGGTTTTTAAATCTTTTTACAGAAAACTGTTTATTAACAAAGTAGTTTTGGTGATTTTCTTTAGTCTTGATTTAAAAAGATAACATTCTGGTTAGTATAAAGCAGGGATGTCTAACTCATTTTCACTGAAGGCCACATGAGCATTATGATGCCCTACGAAGGGCCAGTTGTAATTAACTTTGATGTTTCATGTTTAACTTCAGCTAAACACAAAACATCACACTCCATTTTTCATTGATACGAGAACTGCTGACAAACAATAATTGAGCTCTACGTGGTATTCTGTGCATAGAAACAGCATTTAACACGCCCTCTTACAAACACTGAAAAGTACTATGTGTACGACTGACTAAATGTGACATAAATAATATAGAAATGTTATTAAAAGTTAAAGTAAAACAGTTGTACTCTCACTTTCCGAAAGGGAATTACCACTGGAAGGGGTTCCAGTTTAAATTTACGACCTTTAAGTGGGGAATTCCCACTACCCAGTACAACTGGGTCGCAGCAAAAGTAGCCATTTAAAATGCAGCAAAATGGAGACTTTACACTGCAAATTTCTCCGGCTGCAGGCTACTTTTGAATCCAGTGCACCTCCACCTAGAGGTGGGTTGCTGTCATTTTGCAGGTAAAATAATCTACATGCATTATAGAAAATGCAGTTTATGGTCAATGCTGGCTTTAAAGCAGCATACATTTTAAGACGTCGATACACCTCTGAAGCTCTGGTGGGCCACATTTGGCCTGCGGGCCTTGAATCTGACACATGGTGTAAAAGGTATATATCTTTTATTTTTAATAGAGAGTGAAATGATGTCCAAGCCAATAGGATGACTAAATCTTTATTGTTTTACATAAACTGCCATAAAGATGGAACAATAAAGGTTGTGCTGTGCTAACCTGAAGCTAGCATGATAATATAGAAGCAGCTGTAAATTAAAAAGCAGTTTACCAAAGTACAGATACAAACTAGCATTATTATTGGGTTAAAAGGAGCAAAAATGAGCATCAAGAGGAGGTGCTATACGATTTATTTATCACTGACCTGTAGTGGCAATGCAGTCAAATCCTACGAAGGCATAAAAACAAGTAGCAGCTCCTGAGAGCACACCTGAAATACCAAAAGGCATGAAGCCACCGACTCCTAAACTCTCTTTGCTGGGCAAAATGTCAGTAAGGCTGGATGGGAATAAAACATAAATATACAAAAAAATTACTCAACATGGAAATTAAAAAGGGCCAAATGAGACACTAAACACAAACAAATAACTTACTTCGAGTGATTTGAGTTGTTTGTATAATTGGCATGAAGGATCTCCTCAGGATCCAGTTGCCAGTTCTTCAACGTGCCTTTGACCAGGCCTGAGACCACCATGAACAGCAGAACTATGACGTTGACACATGTAAAAATCTTGTTCACCATTGCTGACTCTTTAACTCCAAATGCCAATAGACCTAGAATAAGAAGAAAAAGAAAAAAACAATACTCAAATGTGTTAAATGTCTCTGTTATACATCCACCCCTGACTTAAAGCTCGTCACAGAGATGTTGCTACAAGCATAAAAAAATGCAAAGCAATTTTTTAGGACAAAGTAAAAAAAGAGACTCTCTTACCTGTAAGAATAAATATGATGAGAACAGCGAACATGTCAGGATACTCTGCCAGTACACCTGGTGCATTCATGGACATGTACTCTCTGCAGAACAGCTCTATACGTTTCCCTACCAACTCATCGAAGGTGGCGCTCCACGCACGGGCCACACTGGATGTACCTGGTACAATATAGAGCTCAGTTCTCTACTTCTTAGTCAAAAACACAACCTCTTATAAATTAAAGCAAAAACAAAACAAAAAAACATCGCAGTGCTATACATTTACCAATGATGTAGGAGAGGATGAGGTTCCATCCGGTGATAAAGGCCCAGAGTTCGCCTACAGTCACATAGGAGTAAAGATAGGCAGAGCCAGTCTTGGGGACACGAGCTCCAAACTCAGCATAGCACAGGCCAGCCAACACTGAGGCTAAGGCTGCTATCAGGAAACACAGCACAATAGCCGGACCTATAAAAGGAAATCATATGATTAAATTTTAATTATTTTTCATAAAATATACAGTTGTATCAACCAATGTCTTTAACTTACCTGAATTATCTCGGGCCACAGCACCGGCCAGCACGTAAACGCCAGCGCCCAACGTGCTTCCAACACCCAGCGCTACCAGGTCAAAGGTGTTGAGACATCGAGACAGACGGGAGTCCTCCGAGTTGGAGTTGACCACTTTCACCCTGAGCAACTGCTTCCCGAAATGCAGGAGCTTCTCTATAACCATGATTCACAATCTGTCTTCGGAGGGGGTGAGGGGGTCTTCTGGGGGTTCCGAGATCACAGGGGRGAGCAGGTGAGTCCAAACACACGCCTAATGGAGGGGCACAAAGTGTGAAAGATGAACTGACTGGAACACCCAGAATGGTCTTGATTTCCTAGTTCAAGTACGATGATGTCTGTGCGATCATGCTTAGAGTGAAAAATCCAACATACATACTGGCTGAGCTGGTTAAGTCATATTAAACTAATTAATTTAAGTCTGGCAAACTTGTAAAAGAACATGGTTTTCTGAGGTGTTACATAATGTAAATCCACTATGTGTAACTGTTCACCAAAGAGACGGGGCAGCAGTCCTATAGAGAAAACCCATGTTATTGGTGGACACATTTCAGATGTTATATAATACAATACAACTTACAGGAAAAACCCTGAACCCCAGAAGAATTTTTCTCATGAACGTATTGTATATCTCAATAGTTTGCTTTCATTTGRGGCCTCAGAATCCAAACAAAAAGAATGAAACCTTAAGTGATATGGTATAACCACAGACAGTGCTCTATTTTTATAAACATATTTATTTACAGTTAGAGTGAACATGGAGATAACTGGAGTGAGGACAGAGGAGATGGGGATTTGGAGGATTTGCTGTGGTGACCCCCGAAAAGGGAAACGCCGAAAGAAAATGAAAATTATTTGTTCATTCTTTTATTAATAATGTATTCTGTTTTTTCTAAGGTAACTATCAGACCTCTATGATTTCAAGGGAATACAGTGTTTCCCCTACTATTAGAGTATCCATCATGCAGACTCAGAGTCAGGTAAGTCTTTGTGGCAARCCCCCCTCAAATATCTACTGTATTTCCTAGGGGAAACACTGCAATACGATAATTTATTGGTTTATTAAGATGTTCTCACCTATTTAATGGATTCAGAATAAACAAAATTCAACATGAAACCAATTCTAAGCCAATGCAGCAAGGACACTAAAGTGAACTCTATCAGGTGAATGGCAAGGGTTCAGGGGAAGATTTCTATCTTAAACGGTTGTGAGAAAGGCTCTCTTCATCAGTAGCAAACATGTCACACACATTTCGCAGTACTGAACTCACATACTGAAAGGTAATACTTAGCATTTGGTCGGAAAATATGGAGCCCAGATTGAGGAATGGAAAGGAGGTGGGGGGGGGGGGGGTGGTGAACAAGGTCTTGATATAGACAATACAGGTAAAGATGAAAGAGGCTGGGTAAAAGACAGCAGGTCGTACAAAGAAAAGTCTGGAAGGAGTGGGTGAAATGCAGTGACGCAGCACTGTGACACATTTCAAAGTCAAAGCACCTTGTTTAGTAACTTCTGATATGGTGACATAGACTCAGAGAGGTCAAACAGACAGCAATCATGTTCCACCTCGCGGAAACTTCCATATAAGGGTACGCTAAGGTAACCTTGCAGTCTTTTCTTTTCCTGCCTATAAAATTTCACTCTCAAATTTCTGACCTGACATGTTAGTACACGTGAAAAAAACTGAGGTCATACACATTATAAAAAGGTTAAATAAATATGGTTAGTGAGGAAGAGGTGATGTCTCTTTTGCTAGGTTTTGACACAAGTTTGATTAACTTATGCTTAATTTCAAGTTTATTTATTATTTTGTTTTCCAAATAAATATATTCATTAAGGGTGATCCACATTTATATATCAATTAAATGATTAATGATTCAAATATATCAAGGCAAAACGAAAACACTGATCCATATCATCACATGCCTGATGCGGATCATAATGATTGTGTTAGATGGGCATATGATTGCATCGTATTGATCATAGACTTATCAAGTGAATTAAAATTTTATCRTGACAGATTTTGTGATATTGTGAAACATCGTAGTGTCATCCAAACAAATCAATATATCATATAGTGATAAAACTGATGATTTAATTATATATATATACAATGCAAACCCATTGTCAGTGATTTCAGTATGCCACACGTCTGTGTTAAACATGTCAGTAAGGGTTATGTGATCAACAAGACTACTGGTTGGCTGTTATGTGTAAAAATATATAAAGTGCAGGCTGTCTCATTCACTATTATTAGAAACATACAGATCAATGATGTCCCTTTTAATTAGAGGTGAGGTGCTAGGTAGCATTGTAGCAATACATTGAACCCCATTGATATATCTTTTAAATGATTAATGACTCATGAGTAAATGAGTAAAATTATACTCATTTATAGATTAGATGATTAGATTAGACCTTTATTGTCATTGCACAGAGCACAATTAAATTACAGTTCAGAACACCCATTCAGAAGAAGACTGAACATAACAAACATAGGAGAACAGGTGAGTAAAATAGTAAGTAGTTTAGTGAGTTAAATGAAAATATTGATCCATATCATCATATGCCCATTCAACACAATCGTTTTCAAAATGATAGTGTTAGATGAGCATTAAATATCACATGGTTGCATTGATTGCAGACTTGTGAATTGAAGTGAATCAAAATCCTATCATCCTGTGATACCAAGTGTTATGTGATGTCAATAAACATTGTATCGTCATCCAACCAAATTGATTTGGTATTATAATAAAGATGGTGATTTACACCCCTAGTGCTAAGTAAACTGGGTACATAGAGGTCAAATTCTGGAAAAACTGGACAATTTTTTTTGTAATCATCATTTTGTGTAAGTAAACATTGTGGAGAATTTATACTTCCAGTGGGACAGAACTAAACTAACCTGACATAAAATATTAGCTACACAAAACATTAAGAAAGCTTCCTTTGGAAAAGAGGTACTGTATATCTACTTTTAAAGATCTGTAGGCACATGAGGAGAAACTTCTATTATTACAACAAGTAAAGTTAGAAAATAAAGACATATTTTTGTGACCACTGTAAGACCTTTAACACATACGTTCCAATTCAGACACTGATTGGTCCAAATTCATATTATGATCATATGAAATATGTTATATTCCAAATATGTGGTGCACATGGGCAGAAGATGAGTTGTATTTGGCTCTGTACCATCACCAGCCCTCATATTGCTATGAATCAAATATTTGTACAGTAAAATAAATCATAGATAAATAGAACAACCTAACACTTGTCAATTTTAWCAGAATTTTCTGACAGACATTAAAGGCCAACAGGATATAAGTTTACTAAAAAAAAACAATAAAAATACAATACTAAATAGTTTGAAAGATGCAATCATTAACAAAAAAAAATCAGTGTAAAGCTATTACGCAAATGAACTTTAAAGGCTCTGGACTAAACTAGCTGCAGCAAGACCTGAGAGGTATTGCTTCACGTACCATTCTCCCAAGATTAACTAGTTATTACAGCAGCTCACAAGCTACATTATTGTACCTATAAGTTTACAGAATAAAGATTGTTGAAAGATTAGTTACATATTCAGTTGATGCCCTAAGACAAACATGACCCCYTTATTGACCCAAGAACATAGTTAAAGCAACTGGTGACATTTTTCTGTCAAAGTAACTAAGGCAAACACAGATACCGTAAATGTGACAAACGAAAACAACCTTTAGTTTGTGAAACATCAGTGAAATACACCTGCAGCAAATCATTTCAAAATGGGAAAAACTAGTTCCTGAGTCACAAAAATAAAGCCCAAACACATGGAGTACTTACCCAAAAACAATTAGAGCCAAGCTTAAAATGATGAGGCTTCAAAAAAGATAATGACATATATTCATTAAAAGCATTTTTTTGGTTAATTTATTCCTCTGAGCTGGTGTGTGGACTGCAATCTGGTTGACAGTCAGTGTGCAAAAATAGAATATGGAAGAATCACATGGCTTTGCTATTCCAAGCAGCACGCTGTCGTGCATGCACATGCACTGTCAAAATGTTGTAGTCGTTTAAATCCAGTTTATCTACAGGAACAGAAACTTGTTTTTCTGTCCTTACTGTCCACAGCTGAAGGCGAGAGGCTAGTAATGACAATGACTGTCTGTGCATGTGTGACTTTGCGGAATTAGTGAAACTTCTCATGAACCAGTGGACAGATTTTAATGAAACTCTCAGAAAGTAACTATTGATGCACATCTACAACTGTTTATTTTTGGAGTCATCCTCATTTAGTTAGCTTCTACAACCAAACAGCTGCTTAGCCACAGCTAAGCATCTTTAGTAAACAAAAAACATGGCTACAGTARTTTTACAGGTATTGAGCTAAAATTTTGCTTGGAAGTAGCTGAGAGTCACTCCCAACACATACAATGAGCAGAACCTGATCACAAGATTTGTTTGTAAAACTTTGCCATTATTTATTGTAGTTCACTATTTCTTTCTGTTAACAAAATACCTCAAAAACCACTGGACTGAAACAAGTGAAACTCTCAGGTGTATATCTACAACTAGAGGTCAACTGATCAGTAATTCCAGGGAAGTCAAACTCATTTTCACCATGAGCCACATGAGCATTATGGGGGCCCTCAAAGGGCCAGTTGTAAATAACTTTTTGACGTGTTGTGTTTAACTTCAACTAAACAAAATACCTCACTTTCCTTGTCTTGAGCACCGCTAACAACAAAACTCTATGTGGTATTTTGTGAATAGAAACAACACGTCTGTTTTAACATGTCCACTTATGAACAAAATATTAAATGTACAACTGACTAAAAGTAGCCCACAAAACATATCAAAATAGATATTTTTTGTGAGAACTTTTGCCAGCTAATGGCTACTTTTGTATGGAGGACTGAACCTATCATTGTTGAAAATAAATGTAGGAACAAGGGGTGTAAATCACAATATGATTTATCGATTGGCTTGAATGGCAATAAGAGGTTTTTGGAAATCACAGTCTGTTGTGATAAAAATTTTGAATAAATTCAATTCACAAGTCTGCGATCAATTGTTACAGGATTTTGTTTGATGGACATTTGATGACGATATGGATCAATGTTTTCATTTTGCCTTGATGTAACTGAATCATCAATCATTTAATATATACTGCGTGTATGTGTATATATA